AGCACGATAGTGATGATACCTTTTTGCAATTTTTTTACATGTATTTGCGCGAAAATTGATTTTTTGGACGCGCTAAAAGGAATGTCAATACATAACTGCAAATTAATGATAAAAGGTAAATCTCGTTCAGCAATATTCCAATTTACCTAAAAGTTTTTGCGCCCGGAGCCAATATGTATTTTATGTTTTCCAGAATAGTGAATTATATTCTTTCCATGAAAATAATTCACGATTGTTTCGATAAAAAAATTTTTATTAACCAAACAATATGTTTCTCTTTGTTTTTTTCATATCATCGACATTCTATCATGAGAAATATCACCATATGTATCAATAAAACTGCGCAAATAAACAAATTAATAGTCTACGGTTGCGTAAATTTGTTGAAGGCGCGCAAAGAGATGGAATAAAATAATAAATCAAATTCAGGACAATCGCACACTGCGTACGGTCTCGATCCTGTGTAAAATGAAGAATTGAAAATGTTCTACACGCATTATTTGCATTGTTTCGGTATAAACAAAAAGATCCGTATTGTGTATCTATATATAAATATTGAAAATGTACGCACCGAAATTGCAGCAAGATTAACTACGTGTACCCTCGAATTTGAACAATTTTACAAACAAATTATGGACCGAAACAATGATTTTTCATCATAAAAACTTGCCAAGTTATACTGTACAAATTTATTGAAAGCAACATTAAACACATACTAGATATCTACTGTATCGTCTCATGTGAGTAAAACTCTGTGAATATATGAATATATGAAGAACGAGTCGAGAGATAGAACGGTTGCACGCATCAATGAAATCATCTAACTTTAAAAATAAAAAAAAAATCGACAAAAAACGCGAGAAATTTACCTTGATTTAACGAATCGCGGCTTCAAAGAATAATGATGCGTTTTTCGTCAAGCTTTATGAATTCCTGCGAATTCGATAGAGCACAATTCATGTGCGGGGTTCATACCTTTTGCATAATCGTAAAGTCAATTACCGGAGAGAGTGATAAAGCCTCGTGTATATCACTAGAAGCATAAACGCGATCGCGTAAATCCCCATTGCACGCCAGACGTAATAGGTACCATATGTGAGCGAAAGAGAGAGAGAACATTCGGCATATAGCACGTTCCAATGAATTTACTGCGATAGAGCAGGGCACGAGAGTGTAACAAGAAGTAACTATAACGGACGACGTGCTTAGTGGTATCGCACCCGCCGATGCATTCCGCCTCCGTATTTATTGGAAGGCTGGAAAGAGAGAGAAAGAGAGAGCAGAGTCGCGAACTCGCGGCAATCGTAATGCGCCCGGCGTAATTTATTTTCCGCTATCCATAATTTATTTCCACGCGCGCATTTTTCAGCGGCGCGCACGCGAGGTCAAAGAAATTAAAGCTAGCTTGTCCGAGAGGCGTCTCGTTTCGTCCAAAAAGATAGCCCGCAGATCTTAATCCATCAGTGTCAATGATGGATAATAAAATATCCATAACGATATATCGCGGCGAATAACTTTGTGTGTGTCTCTTATTTTCCCTCTCTCTCTCTCTCTCTCTCTTGCTCTCTCTTTTCCGATTCTCAGATATATAGACATGTGTGTGTGCGTGCGGACCGCAATATTCTGAAAACATTTTTTCATATCTCGCACGAGCTCTGTGATAATCCGCGCGAGCCGGACTGCGGAAACAGCTTGCATAATCCAAAATGTAAATGCTATTACTGTCGTACCGTTGGAGAATCTCCACCATAGTTCGCACTCATATTGGACAATTTCATATATCTCCGGAATTTTTCCGGAAATCCGGACTACTTTTTTCACATTCTAATTGTACCCTAGACTTTCTCAATTTATAAAGCAAAGATACATGTATATATTGAAATACGAATAATTAGTTAATAATGAAATAAGCCACGCTACAAAATGAAATAAAAATTAAATTAAATTAAATTAAAATAAATTATTTGTTTGAAAGACTGAATTTGACGAAATTCGCGCGATAAATTTCAGTTTGCACATTTCATACGCAGCTGAAAAATATATATCGACGAAAAGAGCAGTTTATATTAGAATCATACATGTTACGCGTTATCGCGATCGAGATGTGCAAACGAAAACGTATAATGGAACGCAAATCCGAGAGACCGACAACGAAATGCATGCATTAATACTCAAAACTCCCCTCACCATCCCTCCTTTCTGCCGTCAGATGCAAACGCATTAGCGCGCAATTAATTCAGCGGTGTCCATTGTATCGCGTTCTATTGCGTATTAAGTTCATCGCGCTTGTAAATTCCACATAACACACACACACACACACAAGTGCGATGTAAAATAAATTATTGCGTCGAGAATATACGCCGGATCGAGAATCTCTCGTAAGAGTACAAAACGCGACGACGATGCGATTACATATCGTAATCGTTATAAAATTGTTAACCATCCCTCGGCTTTCGTTCGATGAAACTCGAAAATACAATATATGAAAAGCAGCTGATATTTTTTTTTTCTGCCGCCAACACCACGGAATGAAATGACATCTGCTTCGTGTAGATCTAACGACCCGCAATAAGTTTCAACGCCCGAAGAATGGAACTCGATATAAAACAAACGGCACGCGATAAGGGGAACCCTCGAATTCTAACCGATATTATTATTCGGTAAATGAAGATTTATTAAGGTTTCCCTTTTCTTATACGTAAAAATATTAAAGTAGAATGAAAATTTTAAATCGATGAAAGAAATTTAATTTTCAAGAGAAATGAAATTCTCCTGTTTTATGAAGTAAAGTAATAACACGAAGACAATTTCCTGTACTTGTCTCCACACCCTCGACTATACTGATTGCTAGCGATATATATACTGTTTACCCTACTTCGTCAAACTTCCTGTAGACGCGCGACGTTACCATAATCGGCGAAGACGACGTCGTTACACAAGTTCGGTAGAGTGTAACGAGTCGATTAGATCTAAATATAGTTCGATTCCTTGCGGTAAAAAAATTACACTAATTATCTCGTTTCTCAAGCAGGACAATCGATCATATTGTTGACATTCTATTCTGGATTGTGTCCGATCGAACAGAAATTAAGTGTCCACGGAGTGGATTAAAATACCGGATGTGTTTTTTTCTCGTTCACAATTGGATGACAATAAGTTTTGTAAGAGCGAATAAAATTCACGTTTGTTCGCATTTGTTTAGATTTTTCGGTTGACAGCGGCAGAGTAACAATGGTCAATTTAATTAAAAAATTATGCCAACCTACGCGAGCTCGGGTTCTTAGCGGCCAGCCATGAAGCTTGGAACTTCCTGGAGGAATATTAAAGCGTAGAAAAAAGTAAACTTATGCTAAATCTGCATACATGGAAATATCGCGTAAAAAATACAGTTATGCTAAACGGGCCGTGTCGGTATATCTTTAATAGCAAAGAACTTATCTCGACGAATGCGATTTATAGAATTACGTTGTTTGAACGGCATGCGTTCGTTGATAAATAATAAAATGGAGAGCTAAGATTCACAAAGAAAAAAGAAAAAAATGTTTTATTGCATTCATTCGCTCGCGCTCGTGCGATGCAGGCCAACGAAATTCGTGGATTAGAGGATAGTCATGATAATTAGACAATTCCTATTTCGTAGCTGCGTTTCGAAATTGATACGCATCGATTGCATATGCATCGCCTACATATTGCAAAGCGTAATTGCTTAATTGGATCAAGAATTACAATTGGGATTTGTAATTACTGTGATTAAACAGAATTTTCTAATCGATTGCATTTGAAATTGCAAATTTTCATCGCAAATCGCTATAGTAATGAAATCGCAAACGTCACGGATGCTCGACGATGCGGGCCGAGAGACACGCAGCATCCGGTGATCGCGTATCAAGCGAGAATAAACGATGAAAATTCCTCGTCTCGTTGCGCGGGAATACACGAAGAGCCAATCTTCCATAGAAATTTTTCAAAGAGAGCAACAAGAAGATGGAAAGAGAGAAAGGAGAAAGGGAGAGGGAGAAAAGCAAAGTACGGTGTGAATAAGTTTTCCCCGTGTGAAACGCAAGTTTCGAGGTTGCCGGACAACCCCTTGATTCTCTTATGTGTACCACATGCCAACCGTAAATCAATTCTCGAAATTGTTTTCGCACGCCCACACGTTTCCCCGCTACGCTCGCTAAATTCGATTCGTCGGAGTGCACGTACCGATGAAAACTGCGACGAAAACCCCCGCTCGTAGAGACGGTTCATAACGAACGACCGATTCCACCCCGATCCCGCGCGCTCGAGCGTCGAAAATCTAGAGAAAGGCGTCGTCTGAAACGGAGCGCCAGCTTCAATGCACTGGTGAACAACTAGTGAACAATAGTGAATCCAAGCGTTAATTAATATTAGAGATAATCTATTAATATATAGAATATAATAGATAGAGAAGAGAATATAAAATAATATATTATGTATATACAGGGTGCGGCATTTATAGTGACGCGGGCATATTTTTCGGAAACGAAGTGAGATATCAAAAAATGTTTCAGACAAAAGTTGCATGGTT